TGCATCTCATGTATGATGGGTTAAATGCAGAGAACTAATTTTTCATTGTATGGAAACATACATTGATGACAACACAGCACTTTCTTTCTTAACACAGTCCCATCAGACATACAGGATATCGGCCATATTGGAGGTATACAAGACTTAATGGAAAGTTTATGAACATACCTCATACAATAAGTAAAGTTTTTTGTTTATTGAATTTACACTGTGCAGTGCTATGCCCAACCATTTTTAAACGTGTCAGAGATTCACCTGTCTTCCTTACCAAGAAAAAACTTACCCACAGTGGAAAATGATATTAAAGCAATATAGATTTGTAGCTATGCTGCATTCACTGGCGAAATGGAAAAAATACTTATGCAGTGTTGGACCAGCAGATCAGCTGGGGCATTCATAGAAGAAAATGGAGAAACTCTTCCAGTCAAAGGTTGTTGGCTTTAGCCACAGATGGTGTGTACCTCGTCTGATTCAGCCACTTGTTTCTAATCTCACCCTGCTTTTTTGTCTGTCTGCTGTAGACATTGAGGCTCAGATCCTGGAGATCCAGGGGATGAAGGCCACCCTGGTGGAAAATGGAGACCAAGGAGTGGGCCTGGACTCCACTGGTTTTTACGACCAGGAGATTTATGGAGGCAGCGACAGCCGTTTTGCTGGATATGTCACTTCTATCGCTGCCAATGAACAAGAGGACGTAAGTATTTCTGAATACAGATGCTTTATATAAACCATAGTTTGTCTTCTTGCTTCAGACCTGTTATGTGGAGCTTGACTGCTCCTGTGTGTTCTGCTTGTGAGCTAGGAGAGTCTTGCCAGGCCGGCAAGATTTGACTAGACTCGTGTTTTTTCTTTCTTCCACAGGACGACGACGTTGACACATCAACAAGCTTGTTGGGACAAAAGAAACCAGGCTATCACGCACCGGTAGCGATACTTAATGCCATTCCTCAGTCAGATGAGCAGGTATGTGTTGATTTCGCTCACTGTAGAAGAGTTTTTGATGAACAGAAGCGCGACTAAACTCTGTCCCTGTTTTGATTCCACAGTACGACCCATTTGCAGAGCATCGTGCACCTAAGATTGCTGAACGGGAGGATGAATACAAAGCCCGACGCCGACAAATGATCATCTCGCCTGAGCGTCACGACCCTTTTGCAGACGGTAAAGCTTTCTCAATTTTTTCGCCTTCCCACCCATCCCATCAATTTTGAGATGCCCCCTCCATGACTGTCTATGGTTTAGTTTTGCCGTTAAACCCTTCGACCACAATGCAAAAGCTTGCCTCCCAGACTCAGAGCCTTCCCTGTGGTCAATCCTTTGTGGTGGGAAATTAATTTTGTTTTCCATTTTTACTCCAAACGTCAGCATGTTAAAGGTTTTAAATAAAGGTTGAATTTAATGTGCTCATTGTTTTGTTTGGGGAGGATATTACAGTCTCATGAAAAATCTTTATTCAGATTTTTGCTGGAAGCCATCGTTGGGTTAACCATTCTGTTGAGTGGGAGAGGTGGTTAGGTGTCTCCTAACAAACATGGGTTGCAGATGGGTTGTGTGTGGGTCGAAGGGTTAGTAATCCCCATAATGGGATACAAAGCATACAGAAATATGGGTTAGGTGTTGTACAACTGACGTACTGATGCATTGTGCTCTTCCATACTGGGCACAGTAGCTGTAGATTCTGAGGCAGTCAGCGAAGGCAACACGTTTAAAGGCTTTAGTTTAATGCAGTGGCTCATAAAACGTAAAGTGCCCTCAGAAAACTTGAAAATATTTGTTTTCAGTTTAAAAAATGGTCTGGGGCCTCATGACTGAGCAAGCTAGTTTTTTTTTATATAGATTTGGCCAGCTTGTTCACACCTTTAAATATAATTGTAAGAACATTTTATTGCATTTTACTGTTCCTGAAAATAAAGCACAAAAAACAACTTTGACCTAGCTATTCGTAATTTTTTTTGCCTTCTTGTTTCCCAGAACATTACAAGCTTTAATAGTCTGATCGAGTCAGGGTTGGTTTTTAGTTTTTGTTTTAAGCCTGCATGTAGAGAGAGCTTTTTGTACCTAGTTGTTGTGTAAATATATTTTTATTTTACAGCTCTCTCTGTAAAATAGAAATATGTTGTGAAGAAAAGTTGTGTGCCAAAATACCACAGGCCCATACTAACTGTCCTTAATTTCTCTCCTACAGCAGTACTGCTTTGCCAGTCCTGTACTGCACTCTGTTAAGGGTGCAGCAACTCATCCTGTGTAGGTTATGGGGAACACAGTGCACATGTCAGTTTGGTCAGGGTCCACTGGCCCCTTATTTTGGGGGGGCTGTGAGGGGAATGAGATGCAGCACAGCTACTTCAGTCCTCAACCCCAAGAGACTTTCACTTATGCTAAACCTACAGCTTGAGATTACTAGGGGTGCACCGATAAATCGGCCGGCCGATCGATCGGCCCCGATTTCCTTAATTTGGGGAGATCGGCGATCGGCCGATCTTTAAATGAGAAGCCGATTTTATCCACCGATCTTATCTGCCTCCGGAAAGGTCTGAAAATCAGCTGCTGTCCCCTTTTGCTCCACTGTGAGAGCTCACACACAGGTCACTCGGAGCAGCCATGTCGTCGGTTTGGAAGTTCTACGCTGTAAAAGAAAATGAGCCAAAGATCGCAATTTGCAATTCGTGTAAAGCCGAAGTAAGTCGTGGTGGAGCCACCACCAAAACCTTTAATACAACAAACCTCGTTCGCCATTTAAGAAATCACCACGCCGCCAAGTATGCAATGTTTGAAGAGAGCAACCAAGCTAAGGCTAATGCTAAAGCTAGCGCTAACAAAGAGGCAGTCGGTGGGTCGCTGTTAGCTTTTATGAGCAACGAAAAGAGCAAAGCTACCACGAGGAAAGTGATGGAGTTCATGGCATTAGACAACCAGCCATTTTCAGTCGTTGAGGACAAAGGTTTTAGAAGCTTGATGCAGCACGTGTGCCCACGATATAATATGCCGAGTCGGAAATATTTTTCTGATGTTGCATTACCGGAGTTGTTCAGCCAAGTTTCGAGAGACACCCGCAGCCTGCTAAAAGCTAATACAAATACACTCAGCTTTACAACAGACATCTGGACTTCTGATGTAAGTTTAATGTCCATGTTAAGTTTTACTGCACAGTGGATTGACGAACAGTTCGAACGTCATCAATTACTCTTAAACTGTAAAGAAATGGCAGGGTCTCACACTGCGGCCAATTTATCAGCAGAGTTTAAGGCGATGCTGAATCACTGGGAAATCGATCATGGAAGAGTTCACGTTGTTTTACGGGATAATGCTCGTAATATGGCCAAAGCGCTGGATGATATCAACCTGAAAAGTTTACCCTGCCTGGCACACACACTGCAACTGGTTGTAAATGAGGGACAGCTGGCGCAGCGCAGCATCACAGACATGGTGGCAACAGGAAGGAGAATTGTTGGACATTTTAAGCATTCATCACTTGCCTATTCCCGACTTTATGACATACAGACACAGTTAGGTCAACCCAGGAAACGATTACAGCAAGACGTTTCAACGAGGTGGAGCAGCACAGTCTACATGCTGCAGTCGCTGTTGGAGCACAGACGTGCTATTGGCGTGTATGCTGCTGAGCACGAGTTACCAGCCACACTCACAGCACACCAGTGGGAGCTACTGGACAATGTGCTCACCATTCTTGCACCTTTTGAGGAACTCACAAAGGAGATTAGCTCATCAACAGCTACAGCAGCAGATGTCATCCCAGCCATCACTGCACTCAAGCGGATTTTGGAGAGGCAAGCGAGCACAGACCGTGGCGTGGGTACAGCCAAAGCTACGCTGCTGGAGGCTGTTGTGAGAAGATTCAGCAACATTGAGCATGAGCCCCTGTACAGCTTGGCCACTGTTCTGGATCCAAGGCAAGTAACTATTAACATTCTATTTTAGCCATAATGACTTTTAGCCTACTGCTATATTTCAACAAACATTTAAATTAAATTAAAAATAAAAATTTATTGATTGAAATGCATTTCTTTATTTACATGCAAGTCATAAAAACTGTTAATGTATACAAAACACAATGATTGACCCATCTTTCTTTGTTTATGCAAAACAAGGTACAAGAATCGCTACTTCTCAGCAGAGGTGAAAGATGACGTGAAACTGCTCCTTTTGACCAAACTTGCAGAGGGGGAGACCAGATGCACACCTGCTGCAGGAACATCCTCTGAAGTGGGACCTCCTGCTATAGATGAACCTGCAGCCAAAAGGCGTAGTCTACTGTTTGCAGCTCACGACGAAATCTTAAAGGAGAACATTGAACAGGAGCAACAGCTGGCCAGCCCTTCAGCTATGCAGGTACAGAACTACCTATCTGAGGTTCCTGTTGAAAGGAGCCAGGACCCATTGGTCTACTGGAAGATCAATGAAAATCGTTTCCCTCATCTTGCTCTACTTGCCCGAACCTATCTCTCTGCCCCATGCACAAGCGTTGAAAGCGAGCGCCTGTTTAGCTTGGCTGGACATGTAGTAGATGAGAAAAGAAGTCGCCTGTCTGGTGACAAAGCAGAAATGCTTTTGTTCATCAAGAAAAACCTGCCACTAATGAAAGTGACTGGAATAAGTCTGTGAGAACTAACTTACCAGTGTTAGTTCTTATTACCCACTGACTTGAAAATGTTACACTTGTTGCATTATCTTTTTTTTTTTTTAAATGTAACAAGTGAAAGAGTTGAAGGAACTGAACATTTTTTTTTAGTTAATTTTATAGTTTTAACAAAAATTGTGTAAACTTCATTTATATTTCAGAATACTACCTCATGACAAGTTAAAACAACAAGTTTGTATTGTTTCTAGGGTATTTTTCAAGGGTATGTTTTACAATAAAATAAGATTGGTAAATTGAAGGTGCATTGTGATCTTGTAACACCTGACACTGTTGCTTATAAAAAAAAATCGGTATCGGCCAAAATCGGAATCGGCAGTTCAGACTTTCAAAAAATCGGTGATCGGTGATCGGCCTGAAAATTGAAATCGGTGCACCCCTAGAGATTACAGTTCCTCATGTCTTCACATATTTGATTACATGTCTGTAATTTTGTCCTTACAAAGAAGTCAAGATCTAAATGTGAAGAATGAGCTGTGCCGTTAGTTTGGCACAAGCTTTTTGCATCTTTTATAGCTCACTCTTACATATTAGTTTTAGGTTAAGGAAAGTAAACTACAGTCTAACTTGAAAATCTTGACTTATTTATTTCTTATTATTTTCTAGAACAAATAATTGGGAATGTGCACTACAGAGTCAGATAAGTTTATTCTTAGTTTTGTGGTTATGTCCCAAGAAGCAGCATTGTGTTTGAGTGCCATAGATCATTGCAGCACAGGTGGTATACTGTTGTGTGTGACTTCAAACCCTTTTCCAAAGTGTTACTAATGGTAAAGAGAAATTTTCTAGGCTTCTTTTCTGCCGGTTGAAGTCTGACTGCAGATGGACCCTTGGCACTGAAAGTGTACGTATTCTGAGGGGCACAGCCAGGAGCCCTGCATCAGTGATCCACTTAAAGCACACAACCTCAGCTCTTTTATATGCATCTGCTTGTTTTTCATTAGAATGCTACGAGTCTATGTAAGAAAAACAAATGCATATTTGTAAGTAATTCACTAGGACCTTTTGTTAATCAGCTGTTAAACAGAACAGGAAGTTGAGTAAATGTTTTGTTGAAAAAGAGCAGGGTTAGATTTGTGAATGTGCTTGTTGTGTTTGTAATAGTTTGGGTTTTTGTGTCCTGATGTGTCTCCTCTTGTTCTTGTTCGTGCTCTTTCGCGCAGGGGGCAAAACTCCGGACCCCAAGCTTCAGATCAGGTCATATGTGGACGTCATGATGGAGCAGAACCTGTCCAAGGAGGAGGTAAGAGTCTGGGCAATCTTTTGATTTACTGCAAGTCTAGGTCCACCTGACTTTTAAGTTGAAACAGATTTAACCAGGGACGGGTGTTGTGTTAAACACTTGAAGTGTTATTTGTTTCACATGCAGGATGTTTACAGGACAGAAATCAAATTTAAATTTTAGCAATTTGCATTTAATTCATTGGAGTCCTAATGCGCAGCGGCATGGTGGTTCAGTTCGTAGAGCTGCCGCCTCTCAGGGATAAGGTTGCTGGTCGAATCCTGGTCCGGAGGCCTTTCTAGGTGGAGTTTGCATGTTCTCTCCATTCTGCATGGGTTTTCTCCGGGTACTCCGGTTTCCTCCCACAGACCAAAAACATGCAGGTTAGGCTGATTGGTAACTCTAAATTGTCCCTAGGTGAGAGGGTGAATGGTTGTTTGTCTCTGTGATGGACTGGAGACCTGTCCAGGGTGTCCCCCGCCTCTTGCACAGTGATAGCTGGACATGGGCACCAGTGACCCCTGTGACCTGAAAAGGAAGAAGTGGGTAAAGTTCATGGATGGAGTCCTCATGCATCACTGAACAGTTGGCTCACTTCCTTTAAACAGAACAAAACGTATGTAATTTAATGGCTGCTGTTAAAACCTCTGGTGACGCAGTTGGTTTTGTGTGTTTATTTGTTTTGAGCTTTAATTTGTCAGTTGGTACCTGAGTTATGAGGATTTGTCTCCAAACATAAACTATTTCTTCTTTTGTTAATTCCATCAGCTCATCTTTTGTAAATTACACTGCACTACCATTCAGTCTTTTCCTTTGGATCTGAACAAGTGAATTGTCACTTCAGTGATTATGTGAGAGAACAGTTGTACGCTTTGTTGTTTACTGGAGAAGTTGACTGATGACGACCTTCAGAAATCAAGACAACACAGGTTTTTATTTATTATTAATTAGCCATTATGTTTTTTCTTTTTTTATTATTCTGCGTTCAGAGAGAGATTCGTCAGCAGTTGGCAGAAAAGGCTAAATCTGGAGACCTAAAAGCTGTCAATGGGGCTGCTGCTGCCGCCGCCGCCGCTGCCCAAGCTGCCGCTAAACGTAAGCGCCGTTGGGACCAGACGGCCGACCAGACCCCGTCCAATGCCACGCCCAAAAAGATATCCAACTGGGACCAAGCTGACTCCTCTGCTGAGGTGAGCCATTAAAGTTTGAGCTCATTATTCCTCTGGATTCTCAGAAAAGTTATTTTGAATTCTCAGTTTTAATCTGATGATTTTCACCTCCTTCAGACTCCAGGACACACTCCTGCACACACACCCTCAAACAGCCGATGGGATGAAACCCCTGGCCGCCCTAAAGGCAGCGAGACCCCAGGAGCCACTCCCAGTTTCTGTATGTGGGACCCCACTCCCAGCCACACCCCTGCTGGTGCTGCCACCCCCGGCAGGGACACACCTGGCCATGCCACACCCGGACACGGTGGAGCCACGGGAAGCGTTCGCAAAAACCGCTGGGACGAAACCCCTAAAACTGACAGGGAGACTCCAGGACACGGCAGTGGCTGGGCTGAAACCCCACGCACAGACAGAGGAGAGGAGTCTGTGGGCGAGACCCCGACACCCGGAGCCAGCAAGAGGAAGTCTAGGTGGGATGAAACCCCTGCCAGTCAGATGGGTTCTTCAACGCCTCTGCTGACCCCAGGAAAAACTCCACTGGGCACACCAGCCATGAACATGGCCACACCAACACCTGGTAAACACCATGCCTTAATTTCTGACACGGAGCTGTTCCTGTGTGTTGTTGCTCCGCCCCCTCATGGCGTTAACTCGTGTTTTCTTCAGGACATCTGATGAGCATGACTCCAGAGCAGCTGCAGGCCTGGAGATGGGAGAGGGAGATCGATGAGAGGAACCGACCTCTTACAGACGACGAGCTCGACGCCATGTTCCCAGAGGGATACAAGGTGGGTCTAATATTCCAGCTACAACAGCTGGAGCGATAAAAGACCTGCTCTGACAGGCTGATCTCGCTGTCCGCAGGTGTTGCCCCCTCCGGCCGGTTACGTTCCAATCCGTACGCCAGCCCGTAAGCTGGCAGCCACGCCCACTCCCATTGGAGGCATGACCGGCTTCCACATGCAGATCGAGGACCGCACCACCAAACAGATGAACGACCAGCCTTCAGGGAACCTGCCCTTTCTCAAACCTGATGATATCCAGTACTTTGACAAACTCCTGGTGAGTAAATCTTCACGCAGAGAAATGAAGTCATTCAGCCAGGCTCGGGTTAACAGTCCATTTCTTTAAGGTGGAGGTGGACGAGGCAACCCTGAGCCCCGAAGAACAGAAGGAAAGGAAGATCATGAAGCTGCTGCTGAAGATAAAAAATGGAACACCGCCCATGAGAAAGGTTTGTTTTTCTGAGCTCCTGCTGGGCCTTTCGGGTCTGATGCAGCCTTCTGGTTTGTAAAAACATAAACTGCTTCCACTGCAAGATCAACACGCAGCACTGAGCCTGTGTGGAAACAGCGTGAATATTTGCTACAGGATCTCCTCCCTGAGGAGCTGCTGCTGTCAGTGGAAGTCACCGACTCACGCTCCACTGGGAGCAGCAGACAAACCATCAAGACTCGAGGGTTTCTGCAAATCAAAGATGTTTGCCTCTTTCTAGATCTTACACAAAAGTAGTGCTTGTTTTTCCTTTACATTAGTTTTTTAACACCGTGTTGTGAATGGTGCTGGAACAGGAAGTGTTAAATGTGTAGGTGGCTGTTTTCCTCTGAGCTGGATGTCCAGACTGACTCTCCTCTTCCTGTCGTAGGCCGCTCTGCGTCAGATCACAGACAAAGCTCGTGAATTTGGAGCAGGTCCGCTCTTCAACCAGATCCTGCCGCTGCTCATGTCGCCCACCTTGGAAGACCAGGAGCGCCACCTGCTGGTCAAAGTCATCGACCGTATTCTCTACAAGCTGGACGACCTGGTCCGGCCGTACGTGCACAAGGTGGGTTCAGTGTCCACGGTGTCCCTGCTTTTTGTTAAATGGCTCTGCATGCCACCGTGTAACAACCCTGACCTCTTTCTGTGCAGATCCTGGTGGTGATCGAACCGCTGCTCATCGATGAGGACTATTACGCTCGAGTTGAAGGCAGAGAGATCATCTCTAACTTAGCGAAGGTATCGTGGAACTTCTGCCTGGTTCCATCCAATAATGGTGCGAACCATTCTCGCCTGTTGGACCAGTCTGTGGTCCGATCAGGGCTAGTTGTTCGCCAGATTGATACCAACACGAGAGCATGCAGACCGGACCTTCATGCCTGTCTGTTCTCAGCCTGCACCCGTTGGTCACAACCTTCAACGTGCACTAACTTCTGTTGTTTTAAATGGTTACGTGTAGCTTCTGCTGTGATCAGAGCGACTGATGAGCAGGGCAGTAGCTGAACAATGTGACCGTTGTGTATTCAACCTTTAATCTTTCTCCTGTGCGTCCCAGGCTGCCGGTTTGGCCACCATGATTTCCACGATGAGACCCGATATCGACAACATGGACGAGTACGTCAGAAACACGACGGCCCGAGCCTTCGCCGTGGTGGCCTCGGCCCTCGGCATCCCCTCCCTCCTACCTTTTCTCAAAGCCGTCTGCAAAAGCAAGAAGTCGTGGCAAGCGCGGCACACCGGCATCAAGATCGTGCAGCAGATCGCCATCCTGATGGGCTGCGCCATTCTGCCTCACCTGCGCAGTTTGGTGGAAATCATCGAGCACGGTCAGTTGGAGCTTCATCTGAAGCACGAAGTATAACAGCTCTCGAGTTGTTTCTAATAAACCCAAATAATGTTTAAAAATGTTATCCTAGCTCTAATTCTTATACAACTCCCAATTTATTTATTTTTACTGCGTGTCTGCTGTAGGTTCAGACTCCTGATGGTTTATCGTGACTCTTTGTTCTGGCTGTGCTTCTGCAGGTCTGGTGGACGAGCAGCAGAAGGTGAGGACCATCAGCGCTCTGGCCATAGCTGCCCTGGCTGAAGCGGCCACACCGTACGGCATCGAGTCCTTTGACTCTGTGCTGAAGCCGTTGTGGAAGGGCATCAGGCAGCACAGAGGAAAGGTGAGGCCTGAGCCGTCACACGGCGGCAGAGGGAACGTCGACTCGCCAAAGTTTCTCCCAATCGAGTCCAAAACCTGTGAGTGAGTTTGAACTCATGAACTCTGTCGTCACCAGGGTCTGGCTGCGTTCCTCAAAGCTATCGGTTATCTGATCCCACTGATGGATGCAGAGTACGCCAACTACTACACAAGAGAGGTGATGTTGATCCTCATCAGGGAGTTCCAGTCTCCTGACGAGGAAATGAAGAAGATCGTGCTGAAGGTAAGCGTGTTGTTCTGTGTGCTCAGCCACCACATGGTTGCTGCTCAGCTGCTCTTCCTCTTCGCCTCCCTCGGTTATAATCTGAGTGAAGAACACGCAGAGACGCATTTAACGGCGCCGGCGGTGTCTTTCAGGTGGTGAAACAGTGTTGTGGAACAGATGGTGTGGAATCAAACTACATAAAAACAGAGATCTTGCCGCCTTTCTTCAAGCACTTCTGGCAGCACAGGATGGCTCTGGACAGACGCAACTACAGACAGGTCAGCGACTCGAGCAGACCCACGAGGTCCACTCACAGTTTATACATTTCAGCCTCAGCTTATTACTGACTGTACCAAGTCCTGGAAACTTCCAGCGCATTGAGATTTATGTGTTTCCAATAAATGATTTTACAGCTCCTCAGTAATCACCTGTTTATTATTTTTAACAGTACCCGAGTGTTTAGACACACACCTGACGGGTTTCCTTTTATTTTTCTGTGTTTGCAGCTGGTGGACACCACGGTGGAGCTGGCTAACAAAGTGGGAGCAGCAGAGATCATTTCTCGCATCGTTGATGACCTGAAGGACGAAGCCGAGCAGTACAGGAAGATGGTGATGGAGACCATTGAAAAGATCATGGGGAACCTGGGTGCAGCCGACATCGACCACAAGCTGGAGGAGCAGCTGATCGACGGCATCCTGTACGCCTTCCAGGAGCAGACCACGGAGGTGAGCACGAGGACCACGACGTGTTCACGTTCACATCTGTGTGCTGAGAGTGGATTCATTCCTCCGTTCCTCTCCGCCTGCAGGACTCTGTGATGCTGAACGGTTTCGGGACGGTCGTGAACGCCCTCGGGAAACGTGTGAAACCTTACCTGCCCCAGATCTGCGGTACGGTGTTGTGGCGTCTCAACAACAAGTCGGCCAAAGTCCGTCAGCAGGCGGCGGACCTCATCTCCCGCACGGCGGTGGTGATGAAGACCTGCCAGGAGGTAACGCTGCAGAAACACCACACCTGGGGCCGAGGACAAACTCTGACGTCTTCCTGTCTTCTGTCCTGCAGGAGAAACTGATGGGTCACTTGGGGGTGGTCCTGTACGAGTACCTGGGAGAGGAGTACCCCGAGGTGCTGGGCAGCATCCTGGGAGCGCTGAAGGCCATCGTTAACGTCATCGGTACGTTTGTTTTATTCAGTGTTGCGTGTGTTTTAACTACAGTGGTGATGGAGCCTCTGATTAATTTTATTATTTTTACTTTTCTGTAACGTTAACTTTACCTTTGGTTACATGTGGGCAGCTACCTGCAGGTACACGTTCAGCTACTTTGTTGTCTGATCACTGAGTTTTGGATTTTCTTCCAGGCATGCACAAGATGACTCCACCGATCAAAGACCTGCTTCCTCGTTTGACACCCATCTTGAAAAACCGGCACGAGAAAGTCCAGGAGAACTGCATCGATCTGGTGGGCAGGATCGCCGACAGGTCGGTGGAGTGACAATCCTCAGGGTTTGTTGTTGTGTTCTCCTGGAGTTGGCTCCACCGTGGATCTCATTTCTTTGTTGTTTTTAGGGGAGCTGAATATGTATCGGCCAGGGAGTGGATGAGGATTTGTTTCGAGCTGCTGGAGTTGCTCAAAGCTCACAAGAAGGCCATCCGCAGAGCCACCGTCAACACGTTCGGTTACATCGCCAAAGCCATCGGGTGAGAATCTGAAACGTTGGACTTGAGCTCGTCAGCTCCACAGACACCTGACCTGTTTGTTCTCCTCGTAGGCCTCACGACGTGCTGGCCACTCTGCTCAACAACCTGAAGGTTCAGGAGCGTCAGAACAGGGTCTGCACCACGGTGGCCATCGCCATCGTGGCTGAAACCTGTTCTCCGTTCACGGTGCTGCCGGCGCTCATGAACGAGTACCGAGTCCCCGAGCTCAACGTGCAGAACGGCGTCCTCAAGTCCCTCTCTTTCCTGTTCGAGTACATCGGAGAGATGGGCAAAGACTACATCTACGCCGTCACGCCGCTGCTGGAGGACGCCCTAATGGACAGGTGAGACGAGGACCTGGTTCTGATCCGCCTCTGGTGAAACGGTCTGTCCTCAACGTTGTGGTTTCAGAACCACATTAGAACAGAGGCGGAGAATGTTCCTCCTCATTGTTACTGAGCCCGTTGCTTCGAGCTTCGTTTAACTGCGCATCAGCCGAGGGGAATTCCTCTAAACTTTAATGCCCATTTAAAAAATCAGTTAAAGTTATTGGTTATTAATTTGTCCAACAGATGCTCTCGGTCCTGGCTTGTCTACCAGAAGACACCTGTGATACAAGTGTTTGCGCCCAGTGTTAGCGTGTTAGCTTACTGCAGACTTCTATAGAGCTAATAACCCAGCTACTTGAATACTTGTAACTTAATTAAATTAAAAAGTTCTTGATTGTACAAATCATTGTAAATAACAACGCTGTAAACAAAACTCGTGTTTTGCTTCAGGAAAAGTAACGTTCAGTAAACAAGGAGGGGATGTTTTATTAAAAACCAAACTGCTGATCCTGCACACAGGACAAAGACCTCCCTGTGACGTCTGCGTCTCACTGGTTTGTGTTGTCGCCCCGCAGGGACCTGGTCCACAGGCAGACCTCCAGCGCCGTGGTCCAGCACATGTCTTTGGGCGTCTACGGTTTTGGCTGCGAGGACTCTCTGAACCACCTGCTGAACTACGTGTGGCCCAACGTCTTCGAGACGTCTCCTCACGTCATCCAGGCGGTCATGGGCGCCCTGGAGGGGCTGAGGGTCGCCATCGGGCCCTGCCGCATGCTGCAGTACTGCCTACAGGTAAGGACCTGGGCCCAGATGGGATCAGGTGGACTCCACCGTTCCGTTGGACTGTACTGAACCACGTGATGTCGTCTGCAGGGTCTGTTCCATCCAGCTCGCAAAGTGAGGGACGTCTACTGGAAGATCTACAACTCCATCTACATCGGCTCCCAGGACGCCCTGATCGCTCACTACCCACAGGTCTACAACGACGAGAAGAACGTGTACGTGCGCTACGAGCTGGAGTACGTTCTGTAAATACACCCGGATCAGCACCTTCAGGTCCCTTTTTATTTAGTGTCGCTCTCGTTCGAGTTTAAAATTCAGAGTTGAGGAAATCTGGACGTCTTTTTGTATTTTTTACTTTGAGTGTTTTTGCTGTAAGAGGAGCTCAGGGTCGTTAGGACGGCAGCCGTCTCCGTATCTTTGACATTTCTGCATTATGTTCTCTGTGAATTGATAAAACTTCTGAACCTCCTATTCTTATTAGATTCATGCTTTATTTAACCAAATAAAAGATTTGTGTATAAAGAACTTGGTCTGTTTCATTTCTTTACGTGACGGATGAGACGATCGTCTCCTGTGCAGCCTGTCAATCAATCCAGTAGGCGTGTCAGCAAATGACCAATCCGAAGCTAAAAGAGTCGTAACGTTTTTGTTTCCGTTTGAAAAGGGCGCTCAGTGAGCGAAACCGTGCAGCGGCTAGAGGTCTTCAGTAAATCTGCCAGAAAGGCTGAAGACACTCGGCGACTCTTACAGGAGCATTTAGCTTCACATTGGTCAGTTGCTGACACGCCTACTGGATTGATTGACAGGTCGCCTGTGGATCTGACTCATGGGAAAAAAAGTCTTGTACGACTTTATTCTCATAATTTTGACTTTTAATTTTTTTTATTTTTAGCGTGGCCCTAAAGCTCCGTCGTAAAAACAAGTAGGCTACAAACAGTATGATAATTCACAATAGTGTAAATCTAAAAGGCATATTACAGGTAGATATGGGAACATCAAAAGAAAAACTGATTGTAATGTTTTAGAGAGCGCTGTCTCTTCTGCCATCATCTGCTGGGGGAGCAGCACCAGAGCAGGCGACTTCAAAAAGATCAACAAGCTCATAAAGAAGGCTGGATCAGTTCTGGGGACTCCTCTAGAACCTTTGGAGATGATTGTTCAAAGAAGAATTCTTCATTCATTCAACTTTCATTTATACAGGTTAATCCCATTGAGCCTCGGGGACTCTTACAAGAGAGACCTGATTTTAATAAACTGTCCAGGTGACCCGACTGAGAATTATTGGATTTGCTTCCTGGATGATTGAGCATGAACTTTGTTGATGACAACATTAAGACAATCATAGACGATGTGTACAAATTTTTATTATTATTATTCATAAAATGAACATTTTAGACAACCCTGAGCACCCTCTTCATCAGACTCCTACAACAACGGAGTGTCTTCAGTCAGAGGCTTCTTCAGATCTGCTACAAGAGATCCTGCCCACAGACATCAGCATCTAGAACAACTCTAATGAAACCAGGATGAGGAGTTACATTTAATTTCCCTCTGGGATTAATAAAGTATTCTTGAATTGAATTGAGGAAGGTACCTAAAACAGAACCGTGTGGAACTCCAGATGACACCAAGGTTGACCCAGAAATATCTCTAATTGCTTCACTGCTCTGTCCCTGATGGTTCACTGTGTCACGAAGCAGTTCAATCTAAAAGCACATGCCTAACAGTCACTGGAGTCAGTTGCTAAGCGTCTAATTAAAAACGTTTGAAAGGACAGATTGAGTGCTCTGTAAGGATTTTAAAACCAGATGGTAAAATCTGTTCAGCATTTAGCTCACTGGTCACGCCTCACACATGCCACTGCAGGAAAAACTGCTCAGCAAGGCTTAAAGAATTAAAGGCATCTACAAACCCAACATACCTGCACAGGCACCACTGATGGAATCTGTCAGGCCTGCAGTCTGCAGGAAATATCTCGAATGGTTTCGTTGAAACCTGTTTATAATTGTCTGCTGCTGCTAAATGTTTTATTCTTTCTGCTTTCTTTTTGAAACATTTAGAGGTTTAGGGCTCTTTGTTGCTGTATTTTCTTTATTTTTTTGTGTTTTTTGCCCAAGTGATGGGATGTAAGGAAGCTCATTTCTGCCACAGTGAAGAAAAACAATCCTGTTCACTTCTATCTTATAATTATTATCATAGGTGGAAAATAAAGATAGCATTTTCTTGCATTCCTGTAAGTGAGTATGAGGCTGTGGTAGCTCGGTGGTCAGGGTTGTGGTCTTCTAATTCTCAGGCCACAGGTTTGACGTCACCCCAGGTTGCATCAGACAGTGCACCTAAAATAAAACTACAAAAAAATTCAATTTGCGACAGTAGTCATGAGTTTGAGTCAGTAGTCATGTGTTTGAGTCAGTAGTCATGTGTTTGAG